CTACCTATACTTTTTACCAACTACCAATGTAATATCATTATTCTTTAAATGTCGTGTTCAACCCAATTAAGACTGTATTTATGGGACATATGGAGTATATTATATTATAATAATTCTTACATGGGATGGACTGTTTGAAATTAAATAGTGAGCGATAGTGAGTTGATTTAATTACGTCGAAATCGGTTGTAAATGAAAGGCAGCCAAAAGTCAACAAATCAATTAAATGATATTTCAAATTCATAATTAAATGATATTCGAAGCTTAACCTATCGATATATTGACAAATACAAACGTTGTCAGTTTCATTGCAACATATATTCATAATAAATTATGCCCCGTTTATAGAGATATATATATATATATTTAAGGTGTGTTTGTTTGGGGGTTTGGATTTTGAGTTGGGATTTGAATAGTAAAAATTTTGAATTTTAATACTTGTATGATGTGATATAAATATGTGTTAATGTGATATTTTGAATGTAAAATTGATTTTTAGTATACTATAGAAAATAAAAAATAGGTGTTTGATTTGATATTTTTTGGGGAAAAAAAATGAGATGAACAGTGAATTGAAGATCCAATCTCCCAAACAAACACACCCTTAAAGTTTTGAAAATAATAAAAATAATACTCTCTTTTGATTGGTAAAATTACTTTTATCGAGGTCTATACGGATTTTTTTTAAAGTTGGTTATTTTATTGAGAAAATAAAAAAATTAAAGTGGAAATTGAGAGTATTTATGAAAATAAAGAAAATGATAATAATAAGGGAAAAATTATTTTTTGTCCAAATATAATTAAAATTTATTAATTTTGGTCTCAATATAAAAATTTTATCAATTTTGGTTAAAATATAATCAAAACTCATTATTTTTGTCATAATATAAAATTTTTATCAATTTTAGTCTCAATATAACCAAACTCATCATTTTTTTTTCCAATATAATCAAACCTTATCTTTTTTGTCCCAATATAATCAAACCTTATCTTTTTTGGTTCCTCACCGTCAACAAATCGACGGAAAATACTGACGTGAAAAGAAATCAAACCTTATATTTATATTTGAAGAAATTGCACAATCTTGTAGCATTTTTCGGCGGTTTGTAGACGGTGAGACCAAAAAAATAAAGTTTTGATTATATTTGGACAAAAAATAATGAGTTTTGGTTATATTATGACTAAAATTGATAAAAATTTTATATTGAGACCAAAAATGATGAGTTTTGGTTATATTATGACAAAAAATGATAAATTTTGATTATATTTGGACCAAGATTGATAAGATTTTTATATTGAAACCAAAATTGATTAATTTTGGTTATATTAGAACAAAACATAATTTTTCCCAAATAATAATAATAATACATTGCCAAAATGAATAGTACGGTAATTTTATAAAAAATTATATTTATATTATTTTTAACTATTCACTATAGTAAAATACTACTCCCTCCGTCCGCTTACAAAGTTTACATATTTCTATTTTGGACGCCCAATTATAAAGTTTACATTTCATTAAATACCCTACTTTTTTCCATAAATACATTTACTTTACATCACATCATTACTTTTACACAAAAAAGTAAGGGCAAAAATATCATTACACTACTTTTAACTACTCACTATAATTAAAATACTATTATTTTTTAAACACCGAGCCAAAAGTAAATGTAACCCTTGTAAATGGATGGAGAGAGTATTATTTTTTAAACTTCACACCAAAAACAAATATAGACTTATAAAATGTACAGAGAAAGTATTATTTATATTGTATTAATGTGGATCTATATTGTATTTATTTAGTGAATTTTGTATGATATTTTGTGAAATTAAATAACTATTTGATATGATATATATATATATATATATTTTAAAAAAAAAACTATTCATTCGGTCCGCTAAAATTATATTTACTATTTTATTTTATTTGTTTGATGTTATCGATCTGTGTTGAATTGTTGTGTGCAAATTTTTAAATATTAATTATTATATTAATACATAATACAAAGTAAAAAAAATAAAAATAAAATGTCTAGTTTTTTATAATACAAATACAATGACATTTGTAAAATAAATTATACAAATATAAAAATATTTTTAATATTAAATAAAATAATAAAAAAAAACAAATGGTACTATTCCTGTGTTATATTTATAAACTATATTACCTATAAACTTAAAAATAGATAATGGTTAAAGGTGGTATAATTTATATTTCGGACTTTCCATTTATTAGATAATAATAATAATAATAATAATAATAATAATAATAATAATAATAATAATCAACTGTTGAGATTTAAGAAATATTAATATTATATTAATAATTGATAAAATGTACAGATAAAAGATTTTTTTTTGCTATTGTGAGTGTATTATTGTAAAAAATAGTGGCAATTGTGTAATAAAAATGAAAAAATAAAGGTACTTTTATGATGATACGGTTATTTATGGAAATAATATTATTGTTTTGGGACAAACAAAAATAATAAATAAGACTATTGTATTGGGACAGAGGAAATATTATTTTAATCTCGTAACTAATCTCTGTATAAAATCATTTTGGAAGTGAAAATTCTTTTGGAACAATTGGTTTTCCGTTACTGAAAATGCCTATATAACACCTGTCTGAAATGGTGGAGCACATGTGGAATTTTTTATTTCTTATTATCTTTTTGGCTAATTTTTAAATTTCACCAAATTTCAAAAAACAATTGTTTAAATATATATATATATATATATTTCCATGTCTCAGTTAAGCTGGTGCCACATGCGTATCTTCGGGATCAGATGATGAATTATTCCAAAAAAATTCATTTGTGGAACGATTTCTATATAAACTTCTATTACGATATTAAAATAAGGGTAAATTGTTTTTTTAGTCCTGTAACTAGACTCCTTTATCATTTTAGTCCCGTATGTGGAGCCTGTCGCAAACTAATCCCATAAGTGAAAATTTTTTGTTGTTTTAGTCCTCCGGTGCCGGAGACGCCCGCGTGGCTCGCCGGAGGTGACGTGTCCGCCAGGTATCCCGCCAGGTCAGCGACACCTGGCGGACACATAACCTCCGGCGAGCCACGCCACATCTCCGGCACCGGAGGACTAAAACAACGAAAATTTTTTACTTATGAGACTAGCTTGCAACAGGCTCCACTTACAACACTAAAATGATAAGGGGTCCAATTACGGGACTAAAAAAATAATTTACCCTTAAAATAATTAAGAGTCACTTAGGCGACTAAAAATCGATTTTATCTAATAATAATAAATTTTGTTAGGCAGCAAGTGAGGATCCACATGCCATGCTTATCTTATTTATTGAATTTTTGTATCACTACTTCACACCTAAATAATTTAATTAATAAATAATTTCTCCATGTCGAAAATTCCAAAAACATACATGACTACACGTCCATTAATTCCCATTTTCGAACTATTTCTATAGAGACAAGCTCCAATTGTCGATGTGAAATTTTTTCAATTTTTTGTTATTTAATTAAATAAATAAATTATCATCACCATTAATTAATTAAAATAATATGTTCAATCAAATTGCAATTTGGATGGTATAAAAATATAGTATAATGTAATTTGTTTGAAAACGACAAATTGTATAGTAAAAAAAAATATATATTAAAATAATAGAACTTTAAAACTATTTAATGATAAGAGATCACGTCCAACTCAATATTTTATTTTTTTCAGCAGCTACGGTAAAAAAATGTAGTTGATTTACAGTAATTTTATTCTCATTCTAAACTTCAATTCTCATTATAAAAAGTATATTCTCTATGTATTTATCATTTCACATTATTTTATGTAACTTTTTTATATTTATAAATTTCACTCAAACTCTACAAAATAAAATAAAATTATATAGCACTTTTAAAAAATAAAATTACACATTATTTTCAAAAAATAAAATTATATTGTATATCATTTTTTTTTAAAATAAAAAATAAAATTACACAATACACTCCAAAAAAATAAGAAATATACACAAAATATTACAAAATACTCTACTGAAAAAATGGAATGAAGCTACATCAGTAATCTTACAAATAGCTGCAAAAAATTGTAAAATTGTAATACAATGAAGCAAAAAATTATACAAATATAAATATATTTTTAATGTTAAATACAATGACACAAAAGGTAAATGAGCTCCTTAGAGACGGACGAATGGAGTATGATATTTTCAATGATACAACATTTTACCATAATATATTAATTAACGGTTTCTTTCTTTTGTTCCCAAATCCAAGTTTTTATTATTTACACTCTGTGTTTCCGAAAATATACGTTTTTCTCTCACAAAATATCATTTTTTACATTATTTTAATAAAAAAAATAAATCAAATTTTTTTCAAACTCATCAAAAGATATACTTTAAATAAAACAAATATCTTATACTATAATTCGTATTAAAAAATAAATAAATAAACAAGCTACTATATGTTAAAATAAATAGAAAAAAAAACAATCAAACTAATTATGTATTCTTACTTAAAAAAAAAAATCAAATGAAAAGTACCATAAAACATTAAAAAAAAAAAAAAACTATGAAAACCACATATAATATTATTTAATAAAGATGGAAACAAAACAAAGCCAACTTTCTTAATCAACCCTTTATGTTGTTGAAAAAATAGTACAATAGCTTCCAAGACAATCCAAGCATAAAAATAAAATAAATAAAAATAAAAATAAAAATAAAATTTTAAATAAATAAACCATAAAATGTACTTTGTGACATGTAACAGATAAAAACGGGTGGGTGGATTTTGCATGCATGGTCCCCCCACGTGCCAACGCCACGTGCATGGGATGCATCAAAGTGCGTAAAATATTACTTTTTTTCCAGAAAATATCCAGCCGTCCATCCATAAGGTGGGCCCAGAAAATCCAACGGCCCACCCCTCCCAGGACTTCAACGCCCGGGACCGTTACAAGAACCAGGAGCCAGCGGATTTAATACAGCAGGATTATATGAGAGCGTGTGTGTAGGCGCATCGGATCCTTCGTCATTACCACTGTTCCTTCCGCCTCCACCTAATCCATTTTCTCCGACAGTTTTTGTTCTTTTCCGGCGACCTTTTGGAGGCTCCGATGACCGGTAGGTCCGAATCTCCGGTCGAATTCGGTGGTCGGAGCTTTTGACGATGTCTGGAGATGAAACCCCCAAATCTGATCCTCTCCGGGAAGAACAAATTCAGTCGTCGGAATCGGCGTCGGAAATTCCAGAAATTGAGAAAGAAATTAACGCCGCCGCCGGTAAAGTTACAGAGAGTTCGCCAGGAAAGCAAATCGAAGGCGGCGATGGTGGCGGAGACGGAGAGGACGGGTTCAGAACGCCGACGTCGTCGGAGAATAAAATTCCGCCGGTAACCGACTGCCCGCCGGCGCCGCGAAAATCGAAGAACCAATCGTCGAAATTGAAGAGAAAGGCGTCTTCTTCTTCGCCTCCGCCGGCGCCGCCGCAAGCTCGCCGCCGGATTCTCGAATCCGACGCCTCTACGGAGGTGGAATCGATTTTCCGGCCGGATTCCGGTCAGGATGATAGCGTAGAAGATCAACGGCCGGTAGCGAAGAAAGCGAAAACGGACGGCGAGGATTGATCGAGATTAATACATACATATATATACATACATACATACATGGCCTCCATTTGTGGTACGGAAAAAATTAAACGTTATACAGTCACTTCTTTCATTTCATTTCACTTTGTCAAATGTTACAATAATATTATGATTTTTATTATTATTATTATTATTTTTTTAATTTTTATTTTTCATGGGCAGATAGATATTTCTAACGTCTATATTTATAACTGAACATTTTGAAATTAAACTAGGGTTAATTGAACCTACCACGTGTGTCTTGAGCAAACTATGATGATTGCAATTTGCAAGCCAAGAAAATTAGATACAGAAATTTGTGTGTATAGCTTTCTGAAACATCTTTTACATCAAGGGGAAAAAGAAATCCTTTTTAGGTTTCACCTTTTCTGGCTTCTTTTTTTTTACATTTAGAAATTTAGGATGCAGTACGAGTACGATGAATGATATATATATATAAATTTATATATATATATAGAGAGAGAGAGATGGAGAGAGAGAGAGAGAGAGACTGCAGTTTCTACTGCAAAAATATTCTAGTTTGGAATCTTGAAGGATGTTTGCATTGGCTTGGGAATTCGAGAAGACGATCTTACACTTCATAAACATTCGAATTAGATTTTAATGATTCTATGTTTCAAATTAATTTGATTATTTTTTTAATTTTATAAAATACTCCCTTGGTCCTGGATATTTTATCCGATGATAATTTAGGAGGGGTATAATTAGTAAATAATTTAAAATATATTAGTAAAAATAAGATTAAGATTAAGATAGCTAATTAGTATAATTAAAATTTAAAAAAATTATAAATTAAATTTTTTAAAATAATATTAAAGTGTAATTTTTTTCCAAAAAAAGAAAATGACAAAATAAGTGGGACGGACGAAAATGAAAATGTGGATATAAGAAGTGAGATGAAGAGATTAATATTTTGATACAAGTAATATTTTAAGATATAAAAATAAATTGGCAGACATGTGAATTTTTTTTTCAATTGGCAAAATTGTTCATAACTCCCTTGTGGTTTCGAAACTCAGCGTAAATTCCCCCTCTACTTTAAAAATTGCATGACGCCCCTTTATACTTTAAAAAATATTGCATGAAACCACTTTATGGTTTCGAAACTCAACATATATTCTCATTTACTTTAAAATATTGCATGACATTCACTTATACTTTCAAAAATATTGCATAAAACCCCCCGCCATGCAAAACATATAGATATGAAATCATTTTCTTATCACACGAGAAAAGTTTCATGGTAGTGGGGTTTCATGCAACGTTTTTTAAAGTATAAGGGGGTACCATGCAATTTTTAAAGTATATGGGGATTTTATGCTGAATTTTGAAACCACAAGAGAGTTATAAGAAATTTTACCTTTTCAATTTTAATTTTTTTTTTTGTTTTTATTACGTGTTAATGGATACGTGTATTCCGGCGTATCATATGGGTGTCATTTGTGTATCTCCGGCGCAATGAAACCAATTGCGTAAAAAAAAAAATAATTACAAGGCCATTTTATATAAATTTCAGGTATAAAACTAAAATGATAAAACTACTCCCTCCGTCCCATGTAATATTACCGTAGACACCGAAATTTAGATAAAGTATAATTAGTAAGTAATTAAGAAGTGTATTAGTAAAAATAATTATTATTTAGTAAAAATAATTATAGATTAAGATTAAAATAAGTAAATAGTTTAATTAAAATTAAAAAAATTATAAAATTTAAAATTTAAAAATGCGATTAAAGTGCATAATTATATTTCCAAAAATAAAATGGAACAGACAAAAATAGAAAATAGAGACAAATTATGTGGGACGGATGGAGTATTAGTTACAATAATTTTGTAGAAGTATCTTTTATGTCAAGAGGACCACATGTGTAAAAAAAATTCACTTACAAAATTAAAAATATAATTTGCAATTTTATATTCATTTTATTTTTTTACTATTTAACTTTAATAATTTTTTATGAAATAAATTATTATATTTTATAATATATCACATTTAAATTATTATCATTTTATGTTGAATTCGTTTTTTTGTCTTTTTATTTTACAGTTTCATTTTTTACCATTATTTTTTTGTAATTTTATTCTAGGTAACAAATGCACCCAAAAGTCATCTGGACTACTTTTCAATAGCAAGCAATTTATTTTAATTTTGAAATAATTTAACTTTTTTTTTTTTTCTTTTTCAAATTCAAATTCAAATTCATGGGACCAAAATAGAGTTTTAAATTATATTTTATTGTCCCAATTTAAAGTACTATTTTATTATTATTATTATTTTTTTTTATTTCAAAATACTATTTTTATTTTTATTTTTAAAAATACTCTTTTAACATTTATTTAAATTAACGAGGAATCTTAATAGTTATAGCTAACTTTGTTCGGTGCCTTTTTTTATCTCCTAATAAATTAGGTTATGCTTTAAAAAATACTTTTGAAATTTTTTATCAATGATAATTTTTTTAAAAAAATATTATACTCCTCTCGTCCAGCTAGAAAGTATACATATTTTTATTTTGGGACGTCGAATTACAAAGTAAATCCAAAGTAAACATTTATTAAATATCTCAATTTTTTTCCACAAATATCAATACTTTACATCATGTCATTACTTTTACACCAAAAAGTAAGGGCAAAAATGTCATTATATTACTTTTAACTACCCACTGTAATTAAAAATACTATTATTTCTTAAACACCGCGCTAAAAGTAATTGTATGTTTTATGTGTGGACGGAGGGAGTATTAAATATATTTTTTATTTAAAAAATATTCATTCCATCCACGGATAAAGTAAACGTTTACTTTTGGTGCGGTGTTTAAAAAATAATCGTATTTTAATTATAGTGAGTAGTTAAAAGTAGTGTAATGACATTTTTGCCCTTGCTTTTTGGTGTAAAAGTAATCATGTGATGTAAAGTAAGGGTATTTGTGAAAAAAAAAATAAAGTATTTAATGAAATATTTACTTAGTAATTTAACGTCATAAAAATAAAGTAAGTGGACGGAGGGAGTATTATATTAAATATTAAAAATTTATTATTCCCTTATTCTCTTAACAATCTTTCCATTTTTCCATTTTGGTCTGTTCCATAACAAAGTATCAAATTCTTTTTTTAGTAATTGTACTATCTACCTAACATTACAAATACCCTTTCAATTTACAATATATTACACAAATGTCATTTATGATACAATACTAATAAGGTTAATTTAGTTTTTTTTACTTTTATTTCTACTTCATCCCAATATAATACTAATATTTCTAAAACTCCGTGTAAAAAACAAATGAATAATAACACGTGCGACTAGTGATTTTAATTCACCATGTGGAAACTTTTTTTTCTAACTCCGCCGCATCTAATAATGATAAAATATTATTTTGAGCATATTTTCTTTAAGATTTCAACCATAAAAGTTTATATTTTGACTTAAATTGAATCATCATTTTTATTAAAGTTCAGAAACCGTGGATCTTTTATAAAGGGCTCGAATAAAAAGTTAAAAAACTTTAGGGTGTGTTTGGTTCATATTTTTATGAGTTTTGATTTTTTTTATTTTTTTATTTTTATTATTGCCTAGATAAAATAATAGTTTGATCTAATATTTTAAATATAAAATTGATAATATATTTTTATTGAAAACTGTAAATATAGAACGACATAGATATTGTTAGTCTGTCCCATAACAAATTATTCATTTTTTTAATAACCGTACTATTTATATCTAACATTACAAATACTCTTAAACAACTTATAATATATTATTACACAAATACCATTATCTTTATATTACATGATATTAATAAAGTTATTTTAGTTATTTCTACTTTATTCTTACTATATTTCAATATAATACTAATATTTCTAAAATTCTATTTAAAAAACAAACAGATACATAGATATGAAACTGAGAAAATATGAAATTATATAATGCTAACATATATTGAATATTAATGTGTGAGTTATATATTGTGTTGTATAATTTGTTTATGGGAAAAAATTATTTTTGGTCTCAATATAATCAAAATTCATCAATTTTGGTCCCAATATAAAAATATTATCAATTTTGGTTCCAATATAACCAAAACTCATCATTTTTTGTCCTAATATAACCAAAACTCATCATTCTTGGTCAAAATATAAAATTTTTATCAATTTTAGCCCCAATATAGCTAAAACTCATCATTTTTTGTCCCAATATAATCAAATTTTATTTTTTTTGTTCCACCGTCAACAAACCGACGGAAAATGTTGACGTGGACTTGCAAGATTGTGCAATTTCTTCGAATATAAATATAAGGTTTGATTTCTTTCACGTCAACATTTTCCGTCGATTTGTTGACGGTAAGACCAAAAAGATAAGGTTTAATTATATTGGGACAAAAAATGATGAGTTTTGGTTATATTGGGACTAAAATTGATAAAATTTTTATATTTTGACAAAAAATGATGAGTTTTGGTTATATTAGAACATGATAAATTTTGGTTATATTGGAACCAAAATTGATAAAATGTATATATTGAGACCAAAATTAATCAATTTTGAATATATTGGAACTAAAAATAATTTTTTCCCTTTGCTTATTGTGTTGAAATAAAAATATATTATGCTACATCTAATGATTTAATATGTTATCAAAATATATTATATTAAAATGTGTTATCAAATATATGTTACTTTTTTTTTTTAATAAATACGTGCAGATTGAATCAAAACAGCACAACGCTGATCTGATCCAATTAGCATATTAACCAAAGCAGATTAAAAAATAATAATATTTTATTGATCAATAAAAATATGTAATTTAGTTTTAACATTTTTCTTTTAGTACTCTTTATGTATAAATTAATTTTATGTATAATGATACAAAATAATTAAAGTTCGGTTGAAATCGATTTATATATTATATTATTTTAAAAATTAAAATTTAATATAAAATATTATATTTTATTATGGATGTAATTTTTTATATCTCATATATATATATATAATCTCAAACCTAAATAAACACACCATATGAATATGCTCATTTAGATGAATATGCTCATTTAGAGTTTTTACATATATAATTTCCAAAATATATTAATAAAAATACAATAAATATATATATATATATATTAAAAATAAATAAGCAGTAAAATAAAAACACATAAATTTATCTTATTTTTTAGGATGAAACAACTAAAAAATTATAAATATTAATAAACACGTTCTATGAATCTCAATAAAATATATATTCAATTTGCATATTATATCATAAAAATATATTACATATAACTCAACTCTATATATATAATTAATATAAATTATTAAAAAATAATATATATATATTTATATTTATTCAAAAGAAACAAGTAGGGCATAAATACTCCGCGATTTGTGGGTCGTTGTCATATTAATGGGCCATATGTGCAGTGGCCCAATGTAAAATCCTTTGGCCCATTATTAAAGATCCAATAGACATGATGCGACGCCGTTTTGGGCCCCCTCTTTCTTCGCGCTTGAGCTCTACTCGCCGATCGATCGCCGCCCGGCATTCGCAAAAATTAGTGCCGCCGCCGCGGCCGATGGTTATTGGGAATGCCGATGGGGAGTTTGTTTCGTCTACCATTACGCCTCGAAAATTGGTACCGAGCGATGGTAACTATTGTGAATTTGCAATTTCTGACCGAGGAGGCGGCTAAGAATCGGATGATCGAGTATGATTTCATGCTGTTTGAAATGTTTTGTGAATCTGTAGAGATTTATCTCACACGTATTTGAGATTATTTATCGTTCAAGCTCTAATCGGTTTCACGTACGTATGTAAAATTGTGATTAATCAATTGATCTTAATTGCTTGTTTGTTAGTGGATTTTTCAGGGCGATCGGTTTGATTATGGAATTACAGTTTGGAATTGCTTTGAATTGTTGAGAGGTGTAGCGAGGCTATGGGAGATGAGTTATCTGCTAATTCCTATTCCATATTTTCTGGACTTAGTTTAGCGTAATTATGGAGAGTCCATTGAAAGAACACTTGATTCCATTACCAGTAATAGAAGATTGTGCATTATGAACGTTCATGGTGAAAAATGTTATAAGGTGCGTTTGCTTTTCAGCGACTTCAAGCTGTTTCAGAGATTCAATTCAATTCAATTCAATGTGAACATAGACTTGTATCGTGTTTGCAAGCACAAATTAGATGTTACCATATAGTTATCACTGCCCTTTTTTCTTTTTATGCGAAACTAGTTTTAGTGTCTTCATCTTTGATGTTTTGGTGTTAATAAGAATGTCAATGTGTGATCTTCTTCTGAATAGATTAATTTCTTGGTAGGAATCCTGCTAAAATGTGTAGTATTTGTTTGGAATTGCTGATTAAGCATATTGGGATAAGATAAGGTTTGGCGTTCATGTACAAAATCGAACTCAACTGATTATGCATATTCACTATTGCCACATTGAAGAAGGTTTTAGAGTTTTATAGAAACCAAGTACAGCTTCTATGTGCTTAGAACAGAGCTGAAAAATTTGTTAGCACCTTAGGCTAGATGAATTAGTACTCCAACTAAGACAAGTTTCGATTATTCAACCTGCAAGATAGCAATATGTTGGTGGGATTAGAGAGAAGGAAACTTTTGATGACAAGGGATTTAGAGCTTGTTGATTTTTATTCAATTTAAGCTGCTAGCTGGAAATTTGGTTCTTACTTTTGCATGGCCCTTTTTAGCACATTGAAAGAGAAGTTTCATTATATGTTTGACAATTTAGACCTTGTCATTTTCGTAATCCATTGCATTGCATTGCATTTATTTAGAATTTGAAACACAGTTTTCTGATTTCTGTGGTAATTCATGGGTTGGAGATAAAGTGGGATTTTGTCTGGGAATCTTGTGTGATGGTGTCTATCATCTGAGTGGACCTCCACAAATTATGGCTTCTGTACTCTCTTTCCTTACTCATTGATGCACCGACACTGCAGCTCTATTTTAACTTTTATCCAATTTTGAGTGTAGAGTTCATATCTCGTAAAAAGCCTTGGCAACCTTGCTTGGAAGCCATTCTTTAATTGGGAATTAAATTCTGATTCCTAGTTTTCATGAAATGCACATGAATGAACCCTTTCTGTATTCATTGTTATAGATCGTACTAGAAAGCTTGCAGCAGGTACAATAATGGAATCCTTGCTTAGGTTTTCTACTTCTAACCCTACAAATAAAAGACCCCCTTCTTGTAATTTTGGCTTCAATGCAATACCACTACAGTCCTTTCACTTTTTTCTCTTTGCAGGCCCCATAGTCTGAATATTTGCCCACCACCCCCCCCCCCCCCCCCCCCCCCGTCTACTTGATGACAATCCAACCCACATCCCACTTACCTACTTAATTCTTGACAAATCCCACAAATAAATTCTATCCTTTGCTAAATCACAAGATTAAATTTTTTTTGGTCTTTTTATACGCATATTGTGGATACTGACAGCTCCTCTTTTGTTTAATCGAAAAAAACAGAGTAAAAAACTCTGTTAGAGTCAGGCTCTCTCACCATTTCTTTACTGGGAAAGAGAAAGCAATGATGCAGCAGGCAATGTCTTCTCCCAAATGAGGTCACCTCCTAAGACTTCCCCACTTCGTGTAATACTTAATACCCTTTTTAAAAGCTTCAGTGGCCATTAGCCTTCCATAGCTGCTGCGCTCAAATCAAGGAAATGGCTCAACAGGTAGGTATTTATACAATCTTTGTGTGCTTTCGATTAAATCTTTGGGAGCAATTGATTGCAAATTTTATTTGCTTTTGATATTGCAGGAAGAGGGGTGGCCATTGGGGCTGAATCTGAGAGCTGGAATGGTGAGGAATCGTGACCCCAATGGCTCAATCTCGTTCAACACTCTACTCACTGGTTCTATTTCTTCCTCGGATTCGTCTTCTGATCTTGACACTGAGGTCATTTTCTTTCTCGGTTTCCCCCCAAATCGAATAATTTCTAATTTTTTTTGTCGTCGCTCTCTCTATTAGTTTGATTCCCAATTCAATTGCTGCTGCTGATTTGTGTATGTATTGTTGTTGGCATTTCATTCGTTCTGGTGATTTGGTAAGAAACCATTTGAATAGGAATACGTGATATTGTTAGGGATTTACAGGTAAAAAAGAGCCCCCCACCCCCCTCCCCCCCCCCTTCCAAAAAAAAGAAAGAAACCATTTCATGTTAGTTAAACAGAACATTCTAAGTCCCATCAAGAATGAAACTAGCTGTTACTGATGATGGATTCTTGCATCAAGAAAGGCTGTAATGGGAGACATTTGTCTGAAAAGTTGGTCTCTATTCTTTATGCATGCTCCATGTTTGATGGCTTTCTATGTCAGTCTTTGAGGTGAGGCTGCTCTGTGTGTTCGAAAAAAAAAAATGTTCCCAACCACCACTTTTTACTTCTTTCTTTCCTTTCCCACATGATATTGTTTGTCATTCCTTCTTGCTTTCACATTGCCCTTTCTTGCATTCATTTATTTGAAATTAAGAACTCTTAGTTATCATGTTGAAGAAAAAATGGCCATTTGATCAAAATTCAACAAGAAAGATGACATTTTGTTGTCGATTAGAATTGCTATTGAGTAAATGCAGCTTCTTTTGTAGTCGACGGGCTCATTCTTCCACGACAAGAGCATTACCTTAGGGAGCCTTATCGGCGTCTCAAGCCTTCTCGAACTGTCTCGAAGATCAGGAAGAGGACGAGCATCCGAGCCCGCAAGAACCAAGAAGAGCTACAAGACGAAACCGTGGTTCTTGTCATTGTGCTCGAGGCTAACCACCGATGCCGTGAGCATCAACACCGCCGCCCCGTCTCTCGGTCACTTCCTCGAAGCAGAAAGAAGAGCTGCCGAAAGTTGCAGAAGAAGCCCGACCCCGAACACTTATGGCCCCGATGATTTCTCCCGCCCGAATTCTTCTAATTCGTTGTTCGTTGCAGGTCAGGTTGCTCCTCCTCATACAGCGGCGGCACCACCACCTTCTCCTCCTCCCGACACCACCGGAGAAATGGTTCTAAGTAGGGACTTGCTTATACATGAGAATGGTGATGACCCTCCATTGATCCTCTCATGTTTGTGTGGAAATCTCACTTATTGATTCAGAAAAAGACCTAATAAGGATGATGATGATGATGAACCTCTTCATACTCTCCCCATTTATATCATCTTTGGTACAAAATGAATTGAGTTTTCACTCGATTCAAACATATATATATTAGTTTCGACGACAACGAGGAGCTCGTTCGAGGCTATATGGTTGCGACAATCTCCATCCGATCGAAAGGTGAGTTGATGTCTTATATGTCTTATACTAGGGCTTGTCAAATTCGTCGTTGAGATCAACCTTTCCCGAACTGCGTCCGAGTCTTCCAAACGAAGCCCCGATTGTCGACAAGCTCTTGAAGTTGCTATCGCTGCATTCCCCGGGGTTGATCGATTTCCTCGCCTTCCTCGGCTTGGACTCCGCCTCGATTTCCGCGCCAGCTCGGCTCTCGGCGACGACCAACTGCGTGATGCTGCTGCGACAAAACGGGCAGACCGGAGTTTTACCGGCGCTCGAAGCGTTCGGTTTGCTGTGGCAGCACAGAGCCAGAACGCAAAGAGCACACATTTGATGCCCGCATCGTCGAACCTCGATCGTGCATGCCTGGTCGAAGCAAATGCAGCACAGCTCGGGTTCGCTACCCTGTCGATCGATAAAATACGCAATGCAACGTCAATTTTATGATACCGTAAGCTTCTATTCGATTTTATCGACTTAGCAATTTTATACCTCTGATTCATCGTCGTCGTCGTCAGCAACGCACGGGTTTGGAATCGGTTGCGTCGAGCAAGGGTTGTCCAACAAGATTGCCTTTTCCCTCTTTTTATTCGCGTCGATTAGCGCCGACTCGAGCAACGCTTTCGCTTCGGGGCTTAGCTCGCTAATAAACTTCAACGGCGACGGCCACGTCAGCGGCTCCGGCGCCAACGGGTTAAGCAACGCCGCACACGCCTCGTGCTTGTGCTTCACGGCAACCAAGTACGGTATTTTCCTACGCCACATCAAAACGAAATTAAGCAAAATTGATACAGAAAGTTACTGCTGATGAATAGTATCAAAAAGTTTCAAAAGTATCCGCGGTAAATCGAAATTAGCAAAATCGATAAAGAAAGTTACTACTGATAAATAGTTTCAAAAGTATCTGCGTAAATCACCCCGACGAATCTCGTTGAAGTCGATCAGCGCCCCAAGCGAGCAATTCCCGGACACAATCCAACGATCCTCCCCGAGCCGCAAGATGAAGCGGCGTACTCCCAGGATATCTACAACATTAAACATACATTTGCCACATTACCGCCGAACATCGAAATCCAACTAACTTCGACAAAAATAACCAACAACGAATACCTATATCCACCGGTGGACGCGCAAACAAGTGCCCCGTTGCTTAACAATATCCGGACGCAGCCGGAAAACCTCTGACGGGCCGCCAAATGCAGCGGTGTCGCGCCACTCCCGTCCCGTATATTCACAAACCTTGAGAACCCCCTGCAATAACATGAATTAAGCACAATAATAATACCCGAATAATCGATTTCGACCAATTCCAAAAACAGATAAAAATGGCTACCAAGATTGAGCAACTGGATTAGAATTAGCTGCAGAAAGTATCATTTGAAGGCAATCTGAATGACCATAGTAAGCTGCATAGTGCAGACAAGTTCTTCCACACAATGTATCAAACAACAATATCTGAAGAAGAAAAATCAAATTTTGCCAACAATTCTGTATCAGATTCAGAAATATATTCTAAAAATTGAAATAATCGGTCAAAATTATATATATATATATGTATGTATGTATGTATACATTAGCTCCTGATTGAATCAGTTTCTCCACACAGGCGAGCTTGCCGTGCATTGCAGCTAACATTAATGGAGTCTGAACACACCAAAAAATCCCCAAATTGAAAAATTAGGTCAAGAAGATTGCGCCTTGAATTAAATCTTGATCAGATTGAATGAATGAATTTCAATTTTAGGGTATTTAATTTTCTACCTGTTTTCTTCGATTCAATACATCTGGATTGCCACACCGATCTAAAAGCATAGAAAGCACCTAACATTCGAAATTAATAAATAAGTAATTTTTTCAAAATTGGTCATGAGAGAGTAGTAATGGTGGAAGCAAGGAGATCAGTGAAAATGGACCCCGATCTGGCCGTTGGCGGCGGCCACGTGGAGGGCGGAGAGCCGTCCGTGGAGGGTTCTCAATGTGAGGAGCTTAGGGTCTTCATCCGCCATTGTTGCGACTGTGTGAAGCTCCCCATTCTGGACTGCGCTGAAGAGGTCGTTCTCGTGGGATTCTCTGCAACTGAAGCCCTGACCCATGCTCCCGGCGGAGGGGCCACCCACCACGGCGGCGGAGGGGTGGTGGGGGTGGGGAAGTGGGAAAATGTTGGTGGAGGAGGAAGAAGGGGACAGAAGGGACAGTAAAGGTGGAGGAGGAGATATTGGAGTTCGGACTGCCCGCCGGAAATTCGGGCAGCGGACTGTTGGCGTTAGGTGGGTCTTCGGGCAGCTTTTGGATTTCGTTTTCGGGCAATTGATTTTTGGTGTTTTTTTTTTAATAATAATAATAATTTGAGAATTGTAGGTTATTTATTGAATACAGAATTGATTTCTTTGCAAGATTCCTTTGTGTACTGTGGAATTTCAGAGTGTGTTTGGTTTGCATTATTTGAAATAAAAGTTTACTTGTATTTATTTTTTATTACTCATAAATTTAGAATAATGATATCCACAAGAATATTTTAAAAAAATAATATTTTATTTAAAAATATTTTAAAAAATTTAGTTAGAAATTTAGAAAAAGAATGAAAGATGAGATAATAAAGATCATCATATTTATTGTAAGCAAGTGTCGTTGATTTGATGACTTTGTCAAAATTAGTAATAAATTAAATTTGGCATAATCATACTTCCTCCGTCAGTCTTGTTTACTATTTTTTTTTTCTGTTTCAAAACAATAGTCTTATTTTATAAGTAAACATATCACAATAAAACTATCCCTATTTTTTTTTTATTACACAATTGTCACTGCCTTTTATACTAATAGACTCACAGAGGCAAAAAAAAGTTTTTTTATCTATACTTTTTACCGACTACCAATATAATATCAATATTTCTTAAATTTCATATCCAACTTCTGAAACGGAGAGAGTATTTTATAAAAATACTATGAAATTTTATATAATTTCTAAATCACAAAGAAATAGTGTAGATTTTCGAAATTACAAATAAATAATAAACAAGTGGGATAAAATAATATATGTTGAAAATTGAGTTTTTTTTTTTAAAAAAAAACTATAAAATTCAATACTCGAAAATCATAACAACCAAAACTTGAATCATAAATGTTTTATATACACAAAAGTAAAGTTTCACATTAATTTTTTGACCTTTTTTTCCTTACAATTGTCGACAAAAAGTAAAATTTTATTCTAGTTTACATTGTGATGCCCATAACTTTCCATGTTTTTGTGAAATCGAATTGATATTTTTTTTAGGATGATATATAAAAAATTATATAGTTAATATAAAAATAATAAATATGTATAATATATTAAATTTTTTGAAAAAAAAAAAAGAAAAAAAACACCCAAGAATTCTACAATCAATCCTACCATATATATTTGTAAATTTACTTTACATTAATATCTAATGATTAGTTTTTTGAAAAATATTGTATTCACTATCACAAAAATATTATTTTTCCAACGGTTAAAATTATTGTGTAAAATATATTTATTTTTGTGATAATTTTAATAATTTTTTGCGGAAGTAGTTCTACATTAAATTTTTTGTGCTAATTATAATTATAGCAGAAGATTGCAATGAATTATTGCATGAAGTTGCAACGAAAAATATAAAAATGCAATATTTTTATGGTATAAATATTTGTTGTGAAAATTAAGGACAATAAAATTGTATATTTTATTTTTCTTGTAATTATAGTATTATATCGTAATAATATATTCAACTGCGTCAAATATTTCACAATATTTAAACATTTTCTAGTAGTAATTGAAATTTTTTTATTTATAAAAAATATCACATTTAATATAAATCGAACAATAATAAGCACAATTAGAACATTTTTACAACAAACTACATGCTTTTATTTAACAATTCATGTATTGTTTATTTATATCGTGACCCAAACATTCCAACAGGCGTTCAAAACGGAACTCTAAACTCGACAGTTGTGTGAAAATTTGAAATCAAATTTTTTTCATCTGAGTTACAGGTATTCATTTTGTTATTTTTGTCTGTCTATATCAAAGTATTTTTTTCATTATTTAAGTAAAAGTTCCTCCAAATTAAATAATAATAAAAAAATATTCTTTCCTTATTGTCTTTATTTTGTAATTTCAATAATGCCAGGAGTAAAATAAGTTTTATATTCCATCAGAAAGATTATCATTTTATATTTTCGTTCATTTCAAAACAAAATTTTTATTTTCTAATTTAGTAATTGTACTACCCACCTAATATAAATAAATATTCTTTCAACTTACAATATATTACACAAATGTCATTACTTTTATATTACACTATACTAATAGGGGGTATTTTTGTCTTTTTTACTACAATCCAATATAATATTAATATTAAAAAATCTATGTAAAGAAACAAATATCACTCTTCTAATGGGATGAAGAGAATATTATTTATTATACAGTAAAAAATTATTATTATTGAAGAAAAAATATCATATTAAAATAATATTTAAATCAAAATAAAAAGAATCCCTAAAATTTTCTACTTTTTGTTTGAAATTTCATTCAAAATTTTCGAATTGCTGTACATTATTTTCCATTAAGTTAATATAACAATTATTTGCAATTATTTACTTTAGAAAAGTTTTTGAAGAAATACAAATTTTTACTATTAAGGAATCAGATATGATTGCCTCTTCGATAAAATTAATTAATTAATTGCACTTTGTCAAAAATCCTCTTTTATTGTGCTACTGTCAGATATATATATATATAATACTTATCCGACTTGCTAATAAATTGTTAAATACTTCATCCTCCATGAATATGTTTTAATTGAGTTGGACACGAGATTTAAAGTAAAAAAAATATGAGTAAAATTTTTTTTATCCTTATAAATATATTAGTGTAAAATATAGTGACAATTGTATAATAAAAATAAAAAATAATGATAATTTTATTGTGATATAATTATTTATGAAAATAAGACTATTGTAATAAAACAGGAGGAATACAAATAAGTTGAAAAAAACAAACTTAACAAATCCTATATATAAGTATCAATGACAATCAATGAAAAAAACCTTTTTCCTGTTATAATAAGAAAATAAAAAAAGTTCAATTTTTTTTTTACTTAGAAAAAATATTTTTTTTGTTTTATATAAAAAAAATATAAAATTAAATGACATAATAAATAATATTCCCGCCCGCTATAGATGAACAATTTTTTTATCTGTTCCATAAAAGATGATCAATTTCTAATTTTTAGTAAATTTATTAATTTTAAATATATTTTAACAAGTATTAATCAATTTAATTAAAATTTTAATTTCTTATAAGTAATGTCTATTCAAAATTTTTTTCTTTTTATATTTCTTTCCAATAAATAAATATTTTTATGTATATTTAATTTTTTCAATTTTTTTTTATAAAATTAGTTTTAGTTTAATTATAAATAAATAAATAAACATATATTTTTGTTATTCATTTGTACTATATAAAATTTGATTGTCTAAAAAAATGATATCTATATTATATATATTTTTTTGATATATAATTACAAAAATATTTAAAAATACCAACTATACTATTCATATGAAAAATAATAAAAGAATATAATAACTATTTAAAATACCTTAGCTCTAATAAAAGAACTCATCTTTTATCAAAAAAATGTATTTTTATTAAACATTATATCAAATAAATAATATTTCATCCGTTATAATTCAAAGTATTATTTTTACTATTTTTATCTGTCCCATTTTAAATTTTTTTTTGAAAAAATAATTATACACTAATATCAAAATATCTTTAATTTTTACTTAAATTACAAATATACTGTTACAAATAAATTTATTTCATACATAAAATCAAATGGCCAAAATGTCAAAAATTCTTATATATTTTCACTACCAGATAAAATATTATTATTTCTTAATACTACAAAATTTCAAAAAGACCTTTTGAAATGGATTGGAGATAGTACTTCCATAATAAAATACATATTTTTTTAATAACGATAATAGTATCATTACAAGTTACAATATATTACATTAATATTATTATTTTTATATTATATAATACTAATAAAAGTATTTTAGTCATTTATAATTTATTTTTATTATATATTAATATACGTTAAAGTATGTAAAAAAAACAATAGATACTTAGGGTGTGTTTGTTTGGAGGATTTGATTAGATTTTCACTATTCATTCCATTTTTTTTCCCCAAAAATATCAAATCAAACACCTATTTTTCATTTTTTATATTATAGTAAAAATCAATTTTACATTTAAAATATTACATCAACACCTATTTATATCACATCATACAACTATTCAAATACAAAATTTTTATTATTTAAATTCCAACTCAAAATCCAAAACCCCAAACAAACACACCCTTATTTAATGCAACGAGGGAGTATATAAGATTTTTAAATTTTAATTAATTTATTTATTTATGCAGACTGTGAAAATAAAAATTGAAAATCTGCAAAGACATGACGTGTGATTGGACTTGGACATTTTCGAAATATCAACACGCTTCCGTCTTTTCAGACAGTTACTGACTCACTCGCTCACTCTCACAATAAATTTCCTAATATATATATATATATATCATGTACTCCCTCGATCTTTCTTATAGTAAAAAAAATATAAAAGTGAAATAATTTTTTATTTAAAAAAATAAAAATATTTTTCGATAACAATTCAAAAAAAAGTAAACATAAATTTGAATGACAAAGAAAATATTTTATTTATATTATAAATAAAATAATTTAAATAAAATATAATTAATAAATAATTTTAAAATATATTAATAAAAATAATTATAAATTAAATTTAAAACAATAAAATAATTTAATTAAAATTAAAAAAATAATAAATTATAAAAATTAATGTGATTAAAATATACAGTCATTTTTTAGAAAAATAAAAAAACAAAGTATGTTAGAAATGCAAAAATAAAAAAAAAAATATGTGGGATGGAGAAAATATTATTTTTTATTATTTATTACTTGCGGTTTTATGGTATGTTTATTTGTGAGATTTTGATTTTGATTTTTTGGTTTTGAATAGTAAAATTTTGAATTGAAATAAATTTTTAATGTAATATAAATATATATTGATGTGATATTTTAAATATAAAATTAAAATTTTAGTGAAATGTAATAAATAAAAAATAAGTATTTGATTTGAT